TATATATATATATATATATATATATATATATATATATATATATATATATATATACACGCACGTGTGTGTGTAAATTTCTCTTCTTCTCTTAATTATACAAACATCATCTCAGATTGATGCGATTGGAATTTGACCATTTCCAAGGCGCGTGGCTAGCTAAAAATTTAAAGAGATACGCGACCTAGTTTCGGATACATTTGGCCGTCGCGCGCTCTGCTTTTAACAAAATTTTCGGAATCGAAGGATACTCTGATTCGAAGAGGTAGAAGCGACCCGTGCGGTCAATTTTCCAGACTCCGTAACTTTGCGCACAGAATCTATAATCTATGTCGGATGGAAGCAGTCATTATAGAAAGGAAATACGTCGTGAACGGGAAAAGAACATCTTCAGAAGTAAAGAAGCAACTCTTAAAAGATCGTTCGAAATTAAAAATCCCTCCCTTTCGTAAGTTACGAGACGCGAACGATAATTCTCACAAATATATCTTCTTCCGTCGTCTATTTTTAGATACGTTCGCATTACAACATCTTTTTATCCGAAACTGAACGAAACCGAATCCTTTCCAAGCGTGCTTTGTCGCGTGAACGTAATGAATTTTCGCACTCGTACAAAAGTTCAACTCATGCCTTTTTTGTAACAGTCGATTCAATCGCTTAAGACTGATTCTATATCAGGAATCAGTGACGTCGAGTCAATATTTAGGCTCGACTGCGACGATGTCGATTAGCGTTAATCCCAGCGTTAAAGTCTTGCTTCTCAAACTATAAGTTACACATCGGGACTTTTGTCCAGAAAGGGAAACACAGTCGGGATTAGCGCGTCTCTCTCGACTGCCGTCGCAATTCGCGCCCGCGGTATTGATATGTTCCGGTCGACAGAGCATTTTCTTTCTTTCTCTTCCGTTTCGTTGATCTTATCGCCACTCACACGCCAGCTTGGTGTCGCTGCGCATATAATTCTAAGATCATTCGACGTTGTTCCGCACACTTTGATACTTTCGCGAAAGATACGAGTGATAATACCTCGCGCATTAAAAGTGGCTTCGTAGCGAGGAGAAAAGATTACAGGAAGAATTTCTTAAGAAGAAAAGGGGTATATTTGAGAGGAGAAGGGAGACGTGGGGGGAGGGGGAGCAAAACCATTCCGCTATGGCACAGGTTTATGAGTCAGGCAGGTACTAATAACGATTTTGAAATATACAAACATGGTCGCTTCTCGCAAGTACGTGTACATATAGGAAATAAATTAAATATAGCTTCCTTTCGACCGAACGAATATTTCCGGCTTTTTCGCATATCTCTCTCTCTCTCTCTCTCTCTCCCTCTCGTTCACGCTTTCTCTCTTTCTCTCCCTCTCGTTCATACTTTCTTTCTCTCCCTCTCTTTCTCTCTCGTCTCGCGAATTTAACTACATAAGAACATTGCATTATATATATATACACAGGGTTATACATTTCATAAGATTACAGTACGATTACGGTAATATAAGATGTGTACGTATCTGTATTGTGTGGGCGTGTGTGTGTATGTATATATATGTGTGTGTGTGTTCTGTTATGTAGAGAGTACACGACATGCGTACGTGTGTGTAAAGAGAGTGTATGTGTGTTGTACGTATGTGTGTATAGAGAATCATCTACAACGCATTCGTAACGGTTTGATTGGACCTAACTACGATCGATCGATACTCGAATGGGCATGTAATCCATAGCGTAGAATTATTGGGTCTAACGAGAGCGATGTTCTAGGCCCGACAGATTCGCATGGACGGGTACACGAAGGGGTAAAGGGGAGGACAAAAGGGGGTGGAACAATAGAAGGAGAGTAAGGGGCTCGACAGAGGAAAAAGAAGGAATATTAACAGGAAATATATTTGAGTTTTTATTTAATCATAACTATCATTAGAGATCCGATGTTCTCTCTCTCTCTCTCTCTTTTTCTCATTCGTTCGTTCATTCTCTCTCTCTCTCTCTCTCTCTCTCTCTCTCTCTCTCTCTCTCTCTCTCTCTCTC